CAAACAAGAGGAACCCAAAGAGGTACACAGCAAAACACATCATAATTAAAATGCCAGAGGTTAAAGACAAAGAGAGAATCTTAAAAGCAGCAAGAGAAAAGCANAGCAAAACACATCATAATTAAAATGCCAGAGGTTAAAGACAAAGAGAGAATCTTAAAAGCAGCAAGAGGAAAGCAGTTAGTTACCTACAAGGGAGCACCCATATGACTGTCAGCTGATTTCTTAACAAAATCTTCGCAGGCCAGAAAGGAGTGGCAAGAAATATTCAAAGTGATGAAAAACATGGAACTACAACCAAGATTTCTCTACCCAGCAAAGCTATCATTTAGAACTGAAGGTCAGATAAAGAGCTTCACAGATAAGAAAAAGCTAAAGGAGCTCATCACCACCAGACCTGCACTACAGGAAATGTGGAAGGGTCTTCTTTAAGAAGAAGCTAATGAACAAAAGAATGTGATGAACTAAATAGATCAAGAGACATTGATGCATGCAACAGACGATCATATTTCAGAGAAAAGAGGGAAGGGGGGTGGAGGGCGGCAAGAGATTAACCAAAGAAGGTATATGCATATATGCATAACCCATGGACATGGTCAATAACGGGGTGAAGACCTGGAAGGGGGTGGAGGCGAAGTGGAGGGGGTCAATTGGGGGGAAAATGGAACACCTGTAATACTTTCAACAATAAAGATAAATTTTTTAAAAATGTCTACAATGTGTGAATTATTTTATATGCATCATTTCTAAATTTTATCAAATATTGCAAGGTAGGTATAATTTAGCTCCATTTATAAATCAGGAAGTTTATACTCAGAGGTTAAGTGACTTGCTCAAGTTCATAGCTTATTAATGGCCAAATAAGCAGTGATGCAGTCTGCCTGGTTCAAATGTACGCCCTTTATTTCACCACAATATTCTACCTCTCTGCTAAATGGATATCTTTATACTTCTTCTATATATTTGGTGTTTATCATATATTTCCGAAAGTGGGATTATTGGTGTAAAGAACAAGAACATTTTAAAGTGTTTACTCCATCCTAAAAATTGTCTTCCATGAAAGTTATGATGAATAGTTCTACCATCCCAAAATTTTTTACAGAAGGAAATGAACTTGGAGTAGATAAAAAGAGGTCACAACAATGAGTGAGAAAGGAAAATCTATCTAATGTAAATAACATGTATGCAATCATCTACCTTCTGTAACACAGATATTTCTACTTTGAAGATCTGATGGCAGAAGGTGTTCTCTATCACTGGATCTGAATAGGCACATGTAAAATTCTTAGGAATTATAAATGTGTGCAGGATCTAGCATATGGTAGATGCTTCATGAAGATTTAATTACTTAGTTACAAGGAACTGACATGGACTTCTGGGTATGGAAAGCTAGAAAGAGTGCAATTTCTACCCTAACAGCAAAAAAGCTAAATAATCTACAAAATCATAATTTTACCCTGAACCCACAAAGAAGTCTCAAGGAAACCAACCAGCCTGAATTATGAAGAAAGACAAGCACCTGCAAGGAGAGATGGGACATGAGCACTGGCTCAACTGTGGCTGCAGGGGGAAGAAAGGGTAACCATAGTACCTGGTACAAATAATTCAGCTAAATTTTTATGAACTGCTAAAGGCCAAGTATGGGCTAACATGAGAGCACAGTACCCTTGGGAGCCACAGACACAAAAAGAATTTACACACACTTGCAGCCTATTCTCTATGGATTTATAGAAATGATCTGGTGGAGAGCAGAAGCCATCACAGTAGAAGAAGCATACAACCATGTCCAATTCCTTCCCCCTCAAGGAATACAAGCTCTGGGGGAAGGGCAGCAAACCCTGTTCCCCCTTCCAGGGTGGAGCTGTGGAAAATGTAAAAAAAAATAAGTCCTCTACTTCTGGGGGAGGGGCAGGAATTAGTACTGTGACCAGACCATTTAGAAGTGTCCTACCAGTAGCAGAAGATCAAGATAACTAATAAAGCCCAACTTCCATGATCGAAAGGCACAAGATCTGCCTATGACTGAAGCTGAATCAGGAAAACAGGGAACATCTCCCCGTCCCACACCACTATGTTTTCAAGCTTAACATGAAAGCAATAGCAGAATACCACTAGGGGAAGCACAAGAACATGGAGAATCTCTCAGGTACAGATGCATAGGGAAGGTCTAAAACTGCAGGTAGAGTGGGAATATTGAGGAAACACATTCAGCAAACCAACCTTCATGCTAAGTACAAGGTAACAGAGGAATTTGAAGCTAGTGGTAAACTTAGCAACAACATAACCAAAACATAGCTCATATTATTAGATTGACTCAACCTCTGATATTAACATCCTAACAGAAAAAGAGTGACCATTTCAAGGCATAACTACTGTTCTACATATAATGTCTGTCATTCAAACAAACAAAAAATCTGAGATACAAAAAGCAAGGGAAAAAGTCCACTCTCAACAAACAAAGCAATCAATATGACCAGCCTTATAGATAACTTGAATATTCAAAGTATAAAACAGAAAACTAACGTAACTATGATTGATATATGAAAGACTTTAGTGAAGCATGGATATTGTTTCAAGTAGAATATTACTTGAAGGTCTATACTGTGTAACTTAAGATGTATATTGAAAAATCTTCATTCTGTGCTTACATAACTGAATGTATCCAAACATCTAAAATTGTGCACTTAAAGTGGTAAATTTTACTGAATACAAACTGCAGTAAGTACTCACTTAATATTGATAGGCTTTCCAACTTTAGATGAAACTATGTACTATAATGGAAACCAATTTTACCATAGGCTAATTGATATAAACAAGAGTCAAGTTCCTATGGCATCTCATCAACATTATAGTGAAATGACATTGAATGAAATGATCTTAGAGGACCAGCTGTATACCTCAATAAACCCTAGTTAAAAAAATTATCATGCACAACTCACCTTTTTACCCTCTTCATTTTTCTTGTTTTAATGGCATCACAGTTCTGATGATTGATGATGAGAAACCATCTTTTTGTATTATCTAATCTTACCTTTGCTTTTTACCATATATAAGCGATATTTTTATTCTTAAGATACAGTGATGTAAAGAGCTCCATACCTTCAAATCAAAACAAGAATTCACACACACACACACACACACACACACACACACACACACACACCCCTCAGGATTAAAATGTGTATAGATCCATGGAGATTATAAATGTGCTGTAAAGAAGAGGAACTTGTATATATAAGGTGTAGGTATTTATGAACAACTTGGCAAATTTTACCTAGATCACACAAATGTTAACTAACCATTCAGTCTGTGATGCAACTGAGGTAATATGAATAATGTATTTGTATCCACATAACATCCCTTTCTATAGTTCACTGGTTCTGTTAATAGAGAGGGACAAAATGGTTTGAAAAAATGTTTGTAATTAATATTGGCATCCCCGCCCAGCCGGGTGTGGCTCAGCGGTTAAGTGTCGACCTAGGATCCAGGCTATCGGGGTTTGATTCCTGGTCAGGGCACATGCCCAGGTTGTGGGCTGCAGCCGATCAATGTCTTTCTCATCATTGATGTTTCCCTCTCTCTCCCCCCTCCTTTCCTCGCTCTGAAATCAATGAAGATATATTAAAAAATATATATTGGCATTCTCTCTACTCCCAGTACTCACCAAGGTTCTTTCTGCTTTTAGGATCCTTCCACAATCTTTTCCCTCCCACTACTTAACTTCTATGCTATAGGCACTTTTGTGCAAATTTTAAAGATTCCCTCTATCCCAACCTGGGTAGATAAATTAAAAACAAAAAACAAAAAACAAAAAACCTTTCTAGGAAGCAGCAGCCCTAAAGCTACAAGGCTTGACAAGTATACGGCACCCTTGTATGAACTAGAAAGAAATCCCTTCTGATGGACCTGTACACTTCTACACAACCCTAATATAGAGGACCTGTGGTCAGTCTACAGTAAGGGTCAACTTAGGGACAGTGATATGAATTTTGAGGGAGAGGCCTTGGAAAAGGGAATACTATATTTTTACATAAACTTACACAATATTGAGAAAATGTGTATTCCTCATATTAGAGAGTGGGGGAAGGGCACCTGATCAAGGTGATGGTGCTACTAAAGCACACCCAACTCCAACCCAGCCTTTAACACTGCCTTGCTTCTGCTTAGAGTGCATCAAGATCATCTTCCAAAATGTGGCTTTTGCTGGTATCAGTATACCTAGCCCTTCCCCAAGGAGGTCAATGTTACCCTCCAATCTAAAACAAGCTCTCCTGTTGGATGCTTTTATATTAGTAGGAATTTTCTTACAGAGAATATATTACAACTGCAATTATATAGTAATTTATTTGTGTGCTTACTTATATATGTGCCTCCCCCAGCCACCACACACATCATACTCACATTTAATCACTTACACATTGCTAGACCATAAGCCCCAGAGAACAGGCACCGTCTGTTTTTTCATCATTTTATCTCCAGAGACTATCACAGTGCCTGGCACATGCTTTGTGCTTAATAAATAATCACTAAATAAATGCAGTTTTTCTTGTTAGGTTCTTGGGCAAACTCTGTCACACACATGTGCACACTCATGTACACCATATGATATTGAATGCTATGGACACCTTCCTTTTTATAACATTCAGTTTAAAACTTGAATGTGATTAATTAGAATGGTGTGGAGGTATAATATAAAACAAGTGATATGTTTATTTGGGTACATCTTATTTGAATTAGTTTCCTTTTCGATTGGTGATTTTATTAATTCTCTGCTAATAATTTTTAGATCTTATGTTTGGTTGGTTGGTTCATTGTAGATTGAAAATCCATTCCTTTTGTAATAATTGTCACAGGTGTCACTGACCTATCTTAATTTGATTCATTTCTTAAAGTGAAATGTTTTGTTTTGGCGTTATATGATTTGCAGTGTAGGATTTTGCCTTGCAACCGCTCTTGCTATTAGAAGAGTGAGAATGAATATATAATCTATTTCCACTTACCAAATAGATTCTGCCATAAGTACCAAGGCCAATGGTTTTATCCAGGGAGAATATTCCAGTTGGATCCTGAAAACATGTAGAACAAAAATTGTCAACCATCTTGGGAAAATAAGCGAGGATTCAACTATCTAGAATGGTATTTCCAATCTGCCTTGCTCCCTTAGAATGGGAAAAACCAAAGTGTCATTTACCCGGAAAAAAAAAAAAAAAGACATCACTATCTCCCTGGACTAAGTGTAGTCATTTATAACAAAGGAATAGTAATTGTATCATTAAACTGCAAAATGCATACAATTATGTGTAGTTGAGATATATGCATAATATAGTTAGACAAAACATTAAAATAGAAATAAGTTCATTTACTTGCAATTGAAATGCTCTTCTAATATCCATTTTTTTGGTGCTGATCAGACAAGCAGAATGTTTAAGTTACAGCAATGATGAGTACATATTGGATATAAAATCTAGGTAGCTTATGCAAATAACAGTAATTCTTAAGAAAGAAGATCATCTCTAAATATGAATAACAAAGCAAGATTATGGCATTAAAAGTTCATCACTTTTAAAAAATTGGCAAAGTGGGTTTTGTTTGTTTTTAAACTGATCTTTGCATATCATTTTATGGCACAAATTCACTAATATTTTCTTTGTCTTAAGCCTAAATATGGCACCATAGAAGACAAAATATAACATGTGTATGGGTAAATTCCTGAGGCTTCCATATTCATCCTTGAACATTATTTTCTTACCTTAAAATATGGATATCCCTTTCTTGTTCACCACAAAACATGATTTAAAAAAATTATCCCTACTTAAACTTTTAGTCTAGCATCTTATTTTGCTATTTTATCAAAAATTTTATGAGGTATGAATATATGCCAGTTTATACAAAAAATGGTAGCAGTGTTGACAAATTCTTGGAAATTCATGTGCCTTATAGAAAGCACATTTTATATATACAAACTTTGTTTAGCCTTGTTTGAAAACATTTTTATTACTGTGACAAATGTGAGCTACACAGAAAAACTATTGAGTTTATGCAATGTATGTACTGAAATTATAGACTCCTTAAAACTGATGTGATATTTGTGCAATCCAGCAAAACTGTCATAGGAAAATTACACAGCTCTGAGATTACTTCAGTCAACAAGTATTCAACCAGATAGAGTCAGGAGGCTGAAGTTTTAGCCCTAGCTCTGCCATTAATTAACTATATAACTCTGGGTAAGTTATTTATTTTCTTCAGGACTTACTTCTTCACATATATAAAATGAAGGTGCTGTGTTAGGTGATTTTCCAGCTCTAGCTGTAAAATCCTATAAGAAAAAAATCAGATTCCAACATTCTAAAGTCCAGATGATGCCACTGGATTGATACAACTGTTGTTAGAGAAAACAGCAGCCTACTTTATTAAAATCATCATCAAAATCAATGTCACAATGTGCACTGTATCATCATAAACAAATAGTTCAATGAATGTACTCCCAATGAAAATTCAAAAGTTACTTGAAATAGTAAATTTGAGGATTCAAGAGAAGTAAATATATATTGTTATAGTGGCCTTGATATTAAGGGTATCACTGCTATTATAACTCACTGAAATATTTATGGGAAAAAGTTAACCAACAAAGGAGTTCCTAAGGTCCAGCTTTAAGATTTTATTACTGTAGCATATTTCTTTGAAGGATATCAGTGAAGGATTTATATTAGAAATTATCAATTTTGGAGAAAGAGCATCTGGCCATCTGTCAAAAAAATCAAATATGCTAACTGATTAGTATTGGTAAACCATACTTTTTTATAGTTAAGGTTGCATTTTAGCTGAAAAAGATACCATATATTCGAGAATTGTTGAATAATTGAACTTTATTTCTGTATCTTTGAGCATATCTTAAATTTTTAAAATCCTTTTTCTACCTTTCAATGACATAAGTATCTTGCTCATAAATTTTGAATTCAGGCATCTAATTACTAAAGAAAAGACACCAAGGAAATGGACAGGGACAATAAAATGCCTGTAGAATTCTTGTTGGTCTTATTTGTACTCATGTTGTATAGAAAATTTGTCCTGCTCACAAATGACCAAAACATCTTAATTCTCCTCATACCCACATTTAATAAAAAAGTTTTTTAAAGTTTTCTTTTGTTCTTAAAGACATCTCAGCATAATATCCATCTATTCTAAGAGTATTTAGTTTTATGCAATATTTTTTCATTCCCCATTTTCACACTGCATCTTTCAAGACTAAATGATCGTCAAACTGGGAAAAAAGAACTATGTTAATTACTAGGGTAATATTACTCACTTTCTTATATCAAATTTTCCACTTAATTATAGTTAGAAAAAACGTTTATTCTGGGTCCCAAAGGAAGGGAGAATTATAAAAGAAACTTTTTTTTTTTTT